CATATAAACAATTAATATTTAACTACATTTATCATACATGTGTTCATAAATAACATGTGAAAATGGGTGGACCATGTAAAATAATGAATACCAAAATAACATTCTTATATATAAAGAAATGTACTAAAGGATGTTCCAACAACGATTTCATATTTTGCATGTCAATTTCTCATGATAACCTTGAACATCAATGGGAGGGCTATCGCCAACCTCTTGGAGTCCATTTAGCTCTCAAAATATCCACCTTGATTAGTGGATCAATGGTTTGGAGACACTATAATGGAAAAGTGCAGCGGATTAATATATAATGGCAATGGCTTCTGACTTCGCATCATAAGTGAAAGAAGTTTCAATATACTATTTGGGTTGAGGTTTAGAGGAACCTCATCTAGGTTATGCCTCAACCAAAGATTCGCTCTCTTAGTTGTTGCTGGAATCTCGCAATCAAAGTTTGACTTTCTGTATGTTAGAAGTACAAGGCTCTGTAAGCAAGGTAAATAATTGATTTCCCAGAGAGAATTTGGGAAAGTTTTGGACCATGCTCAACTTGCTCGGTGTTAATTAGATTGGTAGTAATTAACTTGTTAATCCCTTCTCCTTCAACTTAAATCGTAAGGCTTATCCTCAACTTGCTCCGTTTTTGATCATTTGATATAGTAATGAATATGCATTCTTTCAAGGTGTATTTACTTTTTATTTTAGGTCGGTAGTATGATAAATCCATCTTTCTCAGTTGACTCAATAGCCCTAGAATTGCTCACACTAATACAAAGCGGAGACACTATACTAGGAGAGACGACCTTTGCACTTGAACTTATATACTCCTAGTTTCCATTTGGCAAGTCTTAACCATCACAATTTTCTTGTTAACCAAGTATTACCGAATGATATGAGATTTCTCATGGAAATAAGAAGAGGTTTTTATTTTAACGGACACATTGAAAGTTCATAAATACATAATGATACTTTAGAGGAGACTTCAAGAATCATTATGTTAATGGATTTTGATTTAACTTAATTGTTAAGAAGTCTTGCTTCCTATGAGCCAATCAAACCTATCTAAAAAAATGCATATATTCTTCATTGATGGTTTGCCTTATAGATTTTTCTCTATAAGAGAGTATTCAACTGTGGAGCCATTACTTTGATTTTCTCATTCGAGTAGAAAATCACTATTTTACCTTTAAATGAGAGGCTTTTTGACATCTATATAATTCAATGTAGATTTGGTCTCAGTTTAGGTTTATTGGAAAGACATCCGAGGTTTTGGAAATACCTTATGATTTATATCAAAGGAGTTTGTCTAATAAAAAAAACAAAGATGATTGGAACTCTTTCAACTTTGGTTATTAAAAGTGCTGGAAGTGGAAGAGTCGAAGGTTCCATAATCGAAGTGGGTTGAAGCAGATGCTTATTGACGTCCATACTAGAGATTAATAGAGATTAATAAAGTGAAGACAAGCTTATAATGAATTGACATAGGTGGATTTCATTGATAGTGAAAGATGACTAATTCAATTAGAAGTTTTAGACCATAAAATAAAAAAGGAGGAAAATAAAATAAATAAATAAATTAATTAATTAAATTGCTACTTATATATTTTCGTCGAGCACACACGCGACAAATATAATAACTGTTCCCCGGCTCCTTAATTAGAAACACGAACAAGCCTCTCGCCCTCATATGCACATCTTTGGTTTTCCTCCCCTCCACCGTTGTCGCTCCTTTTTGTTGGGTAGGAATTTTCTTTCCTCGGCAGCGTATGAAGCCCCAACCCTCTTCAATTTGCCCCTCTACAAAGCCACATCTTCCCTATTCCAAATCCCTCGTCTGCTCAAAGGTCTTTGCAGTCCGCCATTGTTCTCTCGCTACACATTTGTATCCTCTCTGTTCGAGCTCATAAATCCCTAACATCTTCGTCTACTAGAGTTCACACGCATCGTCGTCCACCTTTCCATTGTTTTATGCGCAAACACCTTCACCTCGTTGTCAAAGCCTTCTCCACATCGTCGAAGCCCTCGCCACACCGTTGAAGCTCCGCTGCATCGTCTAAGCCCTCCCCACTCTTCCCTATTCACGCGACCCAACCTCCTCTCTCACGCACGAGCTACGCACGAGCTACGCACGACCCCTCTGCTTCCTTGATCCGCACAAGGTAATCCTATCTATTTACACTTGCACTTCAGCTGTTACAAAAGTCATGATTTTTATTCCAAGCCTATTGGTTTATAAACATGTGCACATCATCTTATTGTAACAGAAAAAACCCCGTTGTTTGTATTTTTTTATGCAAGTGCATGAAGGTGTATACATGCTTTTTTTAAGCATGATTAGTTTCAAGACCTTGCATTGCTTTAAATGTCGACTATGCACTTTTTTGTTAAAGAATGATGGGAAGGGTGAACGCTACAAAGTTTGCTTTTGATAAACTTGCAAGTGAAAATAAAGACAATTGTTTGCTTTAATTATGCATCCAAATGAAAATACAACTATAAAACTGGAATAAATAGTAATGTTAACAACTCGTTGTTTGCAACACACATAAATGAATCGTAAGAGCCAAGATTAAATAGAAAATCAAATACAATTGGACAATATGTGACTTCGCCAATGAGTATTAACCAGTGAACATGGGGAACGCACCACATGTTGTATTGAATGATTTGAGAAGGAAAAAGAAAGAAACTTAAAAGAACTTGAGCATGACTTATAGAGAAAAAGACTTCTCCTTGGCTACTCAGAACTATTAAAACTATCAACTACGATTATTTTGTAAAAATTTCCAACTGAGACCTATATTTGAATGCAAAGGAATACCTCTATGTGGTCTATTTCAACACTAAATGAGGACCAAATATAAGTAAAATGCATTATTTTGAATGTACAACAAGAATCAAAATTGCGAACCATTATGTCGACGCTATTTGTTTTGCAAAATGAGCGATATTAAAACTGTGATTTTAGCAAACATGTTTCAATCTAAACTTGTGTGATGTCATTTTTACCGTCTGTTATTTTAATTGTGTTATTTTGGTGTTGTGAGAGACATTTTTTAATACTTTCAGCATTTCAACCATTAACACAATGTGGTTTACAAAATAGGAAAATGATTGAGTGATCTTTGATTTTTATTGTGCATTTGTATGATACTTTGGTTGTCTTTAATTGTTTGCATTGCATTCAATTGCAACTGATGCAAAATAGCTGTAGAAGTCAACGATATATTGAATTTACTATTACTCTTAACTCTTGCAACACCATTAATTGCTACTTTGGCCATGGCCTTTACCATCTTTTGTGTGTTTTGTTGAATTTCTTTTTGTTGTATCTGTTTGTAGCTCATATGATACAAAATATTCCTTTTTTATTTTTGCAATAATTATAATGGTTTTTTTTGTTGTAAAATATGATTGTTGGCCTGGTTGAGTGAAGGCCGTGTTGTCCCTGCTTCTTTTTGGAAAAATGTTGATTGTGATTATTTTTGTTTTGGTTACATTTTGCTTCTCTGAAATGATTTTATTTATTAAAAGATTGGTTTGGTGGGCCTTCTAGTGTAAATATTCTTTTTGTTGTCCTTGTAGTATGGTTTCAGTTTGCCTCAATATATGTAGTTAGCATTTAGTTTGGTTCAAATTTTATGAAATTCATAACTTTTCAGTTTCATGTTGTCATATTCATAAGCTATTTACTAGGCATCATTAAATCAATTTCATCGAGAAGCAGTGACTGATTATTCCCGGCCTTGGTCTAGCCGTTTCAACTTAGCCTCTTACTGACTATACACTTTCATATGAACAAAGGAAAAAGGCAAGTTAACAATTTGATAATATTTCAATCAAATTTCTTTAATAGACAAGAAAAAAAAATACTGAGAAATGGAATGTAATCATTGTGTTAAGTCGTATATGAAACAACTTTTTATACAAGAGTGTTTAGACGGGATGTTTCACCAAAATAACTTGCACATCATTTTATAAAATTGATTTTTCACGGGCTTTTAGATTGCATGCAAAGGGGGGAAGCTCAGCTTTGGAACTGGAATTGGAATAAAAATAGTGCTAAATTATGCGAAAGGGAGTATTTTGTAAAAAATGTGTAGGTGGATGTTGTATAATTTGAACTATAAGGTATTGAATATTGAGAATGAATGCAATAAAAAGTGATTTATGGCCTATTTGGAGCGTTTGCAACTCTTTGAAAGATAGTTCTATGGCATAAACATTTTTGAAAGCTAATGTGGGTTTTATACTTAATTTTCTTTATGACAATATTGCCCAATTACCATATTGTTGCTACCTTACTCTAGCGAATCTGGTTGTGAAAATCACCTTTCTATCATAAAATTTCTGAAATGCATAAAGTAGTGTTAAATAGAAGTGTTTAATAGTATGAAAGAAAATTAGTGAATAAGATGGCCTCAAGTAGACCCGAGATGATGCCTTAGATTTGTGCAATTGTTTTTATCATCTCAATTTACAAGTATTTGTTTATATTTCCTCTGGATAGGGAATCTTAGACTTTGAACTATATTTTTAATATTAATGCTATAGAATTGATTTTTTAAAGTTGAAAAAAAAAACGTAATTTTGTTCCTCAAAATCAAAATGATGCTACTTAAAGTTGATCCATTTGAATTAAATTGGATTGAGCCACGATGCAATTTTGATCCACTAATATATCTTTCATTTTGAGCAACCTCTACCTTGGGTCAAAATTGGATTGCTCTCAACACTAAGAATAAGAAGATCAGTAGAAAAAAAAATGATTGTATCGGTGGTGTTAGGTAAAATTCTCTTGATCGCAATTTGCCTTTATTTATTTGTCTGCTTTTCAACATTTCATAGTTTTTATAAAACGTTGTTTGCTCGTTCCATTTGTCTTACTGCTATTAAAGATAGCAGATTCTGTTCATTGGCGAATTTCTAATATTTAATAGTGACATATATAAATCAGCACTATAATCTATACATAACATACATGGTTGTTACTCCAATTTCAGAATTCTATACCAAGAAATGGACTATATTATTGAAGGAAGGAATGCTGATAGGTTACGTCGAGATTTTCGAAATGTGAAGTGGGTTCGCATACCAGTATGTTTTGTTACTGCAACTTTATTTGCTAATAAGCTACAGTTTCTTGTTTTTTACTTAACTTTACTTTGATATGTTGGATCTAGCCATATATTTATTGACTGTGGATTTGAAAATTGATCAATTAACATTCTCAATAGTTTTCAATATGTAATCCTTTGTAGGTTGTCCTTTGGGATTATACTTCTTCAAAGGTGTTGACTCTGGAATATGTGCCAGGTTTTCCTCACTTTATAGCTTTTTTTTTTCCATGGTTACACTGTAAAACGATGCGCCAATAGTGATTAGAAATTACCTCTTAGATCATAACTTGAAACCCTTTTTGATCGTAATATGTTTCTTTGACCTTCATATTGAACAGGAATAAAGATAAGTAGCCTAAGCCAGATAGATGCTAGCGGAAACAACCGCTCTCAGATTGCTTTACGTGCTATTGAGGGATATTTGATTCAGGTAAAGCTTCCTGAAACAATATTATTACTTAACGTCCTTGGACTTTTTATAATGGATATCCTATTGAGGCTTTAAGCATTGTAGCCGAGTTTTTTTTGCTGAATTTTGGGTTTTCATCTTTCTAATTGAGTTGTTACCTTTATTGCTACTGCAGATACTAAAGACTGGATTTTTTCATGCTGATCCCCATCCAGGCAATCTTGCTATTGACAGGGATGGATCACTTATCTATTATGATTTTGGAATGATGGGTGAAATATCACCCTTTACTCGGGAAAAGCTACTTAATTTGTTTTACTCAATATATGAAAAAGATATAAATAAGGTATTATACCTTTTTTTTCCTTTAAAATTTTGCTTTTATTACATATTTTTTATATAACTTTAATTTTAAATTCATGTTTTTTGGGATAAAGGAGAAATGCCAATTTAGGTTATGTGTTTAAGAATATTTTTCTTAATAATTGTTCAAGTGTTGTTCACCTTATAAAGTTTTTAGCTAGTTGTTTTCTTGCTTATGATTTACATTCCATGGCTTCTGACCATTTTTTTAACACTTTATCATGGACAAAGGCTAGATGAAATTATTCTCCATATAATTTTTTGACTTTGAAGTTGGAGCTTAAGCTTATAAGTTACATCCAGGAAAAGAAAAGAAAATTGCCCTTTTATTTGGGTCAATCGTTAGTGGTACCCTAATTCAAAAAAAAAAACACATCTTAAACCAGCTAGTGGCATGGAAGAGATACCTAATATTTTAACCCTGCGGTCTGCATGACCCTCTTTTGTGGCTGTGGTTAGTTTATTGTATCGGTTTTATTCAATCTGCACTTTGTGCCCTTTTGGTTGGAAACGGATCCATTCTTTGCGTGAGATGTGTTAGTGATGTTTCAGAAAAGTGTTGCAAAAGTGTCGGGGAAGATGAAGCTTTCAAGAAGTGTTAGAGAAGTTTACCGGAAGTGTCAAAGAAGTGCTAGCAATAAATAGAACAAGCTTGATGGGATGGCCAAAATTTCTTCTTAAGCGTTAGGGGCCAAATGTCGTCAAGGTATTGTTATGGACTAGATGGCCCATTCATGCTTATAGGCTATTTGTATCTGAACCAGGCTTTAGTTTTGTTTTTCTCGTTTATTTTTAACATACTCACAGGCTCTGTGCTCCATTAATACTTTAATTTTGATTTGTTTGCCACTACTTATTATTATACATAATTACACTCCCACAAACTATTTAATATGAAATATAAAATTTTAGAGGATCCATACTGGTGTCAGAACACCAACATGGGTTGTGATCCATATGCCCAAGTTCCTTTGTCCTAAAAAAGGTCCGGGAATAGTTAGTTTTATTTTCAGAAAAAGGGTGTGTGTGAACTTGTCTAGGACAACAACATTTTGGAAAGATTTCTAGTTTCATTTTCAGATTTCCATGTCCTTATTTCCTGCTTTAGTTATGATCTAATTTATCTCTAAAAATTGTGTCTCCCTATTCTTTAAACTTCGCATTTTTCACTCAATAGCAGCATTCATCATTGCTCTCTAACCATTTCTCTTGACCACATTCCCCTCTCAACTCATTGTTCCCATCCTCATTGTCCTATAATTGTTCTGTAGGCTAAAAAAGTAATACTGCTTTGCTTTAAGTGCCAAACTTCCCATGGATTGTAGATTTTTGAGGCATTTCACCTATTTTGTCTTAATACAGCTTGTTATGTTAATATAAAGACTAGAGTGGGGTGAATTTGATGCTTTATTTGTTCTTCATGCTCCAAAAGTCTATCAGTCACCGACTAAACGTTTGATTTGTGATGCTAATTTATGCCGTTATTATGAATGTCAAGATGCATCCTCAGGTATGTTGATTGGCATTAGCATGACATGTAATATCTTATACTACATTGAGGATGCTCATTTCTTCCATCACTATTTCTTTTCCTAATGATATTATGTTTGAGCATGAGACTATTAAGACATCCTAGTGATCACCATCTTAAAAATTTACTTCCAGTTATTTTCATTAATAAAGTTGTCTTATGCTTTTGCTTGTGAGAACTGTAATACCATATAGACGCCATACCTTGTGTTCCGCATAAGAATCCTCATCTTTTTTTTTTTTCAATTCAAATTGATATCTGGGGTACTTAGTATTTATGAAACTTGATGATTTATGGTATTTATTGATGATCGCTCAAAGTCTCGTTGTGCTCATCCCTTAGAACAACAATCTAGGTCATCGTGAGTGTTCAACATTTTTATTGTGTTGATAATGCTCAAGAATTCTCCAAGTCAACCCTTGTAACTTATATTTAAATTGATAGCATATTTGAGTAAATTTCATATTCCAAAGTTATAGTATATTTCATTAAAGTTGATATCTTGAATCTCCCAATATAATTGGGTTGATAAATGGCGAAGACATAAGCTAGAAATGGCTCATGTTCTTGTGATTGCTACCTTTATTCTGCATTTTGGACTGTTCCTTGTTAGTCACTGTCCTTCTCATTTACTCAGCATTAAAACTATAATTGAGCTACTAGAAAAAATCCTCAAACTTGATTGTTCAACAACAATAACAACAAGCCTTTATCCCACCAAGTGGGGTCGACTACATGAAACTTTTTTCTCCATTGTGTCCTATTGAGTGTCATATTTTCATTTAATTCTAAATAAATTAAGATAATTTTTTATACAATATGCCCAAGTTTTCCTAGGTCTACCTTTGTCTTTCTTAAAATAAGTCAAATCTAAAACATCTACTCACCTAATCAGATCATTAGATGGTCGACTTTTAATGTGGCCAAACCATGTAAGACGACTCTCTCAAACTTGATTGTTCATTTCCTTTTATCTACGAGCTTTGGTTGCTCTTTTTTCATGGACACTAATGATCCAACAAAGAAGAAGTTAGAATTTAGAGTAATGAAATGCATATTCCTTTATTATTCTCCAACTAGAAGCATTCTAAGTGTTCTAATTCATCGACCAAATAATTTTTTGTCACTTCTGTTGTCTTGGATCATTTTTCATTTTACAACCTCACCTCTGGCGAGGAGGCTCATGTGTAGGGATGCATTGAAAGTCCTATTCAAACCTTCAATACTTAGCCCTTGTCTACTCTGATCATTCTCCATATATGCTATCTTACATATTAACATCGTTCTTGCCATCGGCAATATACTATTTTGAATGATGGGTAGATTTACAAGAACAAGTGTCATGAATTTGTTTAAGATGAAATTATAAATTTCAAAAAGTACCACCAAATGCCAACAAAGAGTTGAATTTTAAAATAATCACGAGGAAGGAGCTATAAAGAATTACCAAGCGAAAGGAAGAGAAACCTATTGATATAAATGAGTCTTTTCTTAATTGAAGTACCGAGCGAAAAGAAATCAGTTGATGTAATGGACTTTTTTTTTACTTTAAAATTTTTGTTTAATGGTGCAATAGAAATGTACTAAGTTTAATTAATGCTTGCTCCAAATGACTACACTTATACTCTTAGGGATTGCGTACAGATATTTGCCTTGATATTTAAGTTTAATAGCATAAACCTCCATATGTATCCGACAACTAATTTATTCGAATAGGGGAAAACTAACATAAAATTGTACAAGTTATGTTCAACGCCTCTTTATTGTAACAAAAGTGTTCAATTGTTGCCATTATTATAAAATAAATTGTGTGAATGCGTTCATAATGCTAAAATTATTTTGGGAAGATCCTAAGCTATTAAATTAATGTACTATATCCTTGAGTAAGACTAGTACGAAAATTCTATATGTGCTTCAATCTCTTTCTGATGCAACTCGTTTCACACTTCAATCTTAATATTCCTCCTCACGTGATAAATGCTCAGTTTTAAAAAAAAATATTAAAAAAAATAATTCTATCACTTTAAACTACCTTCTCATTATCTCATTCCCGCATGTGCCTCTCTTAGTCGCTTGCACTCTTTTAGCATCACCCGTTGTTCATCTCCCTCAACATACCAGACCCTGAAACGGGTGCTGAAATCAGCGCTCGAGTACGAGCATTGAATGCGGCTTGAAGTGGGGCGCTTCGATCTTGCGTGGCCAAAAATCCTACAACCCTTCACTGGAGCCCGCGACACTTCGCGAGAGATGAAGTGAGGCGGGATCGCGATACCACACAAACACGAGAGGCAAGTCGCGAAGCAGAAGGCAGGAATGATTGCAATTCCGCGCGAAGGCGGGAGGCAAATCACAAACTTTCGCGATTCAAGAAGCTTTCCGGGGAGAGTTTTCTGGGTCCTTACCTTTCCACCTCCTTCCTTTTGTAGGAGGTTATAAATTGTTGCTCCCTGTGTGTGTAGGAGTCAATTTTGAGTAGTGTTTGTGTTTGTTCTCAGATTCCTATGTGATTTTTTCCCCTTTGTGGGTTGTATACGAGGAGATAATGGTGCTTTGGTTGTATCCTCTCCAAGGTGGTGATTGCATCTTCTCTTTTTAACTTCCCCTAAACCTTCTCCCCACTCCTTAGCTGCCGAACTCTCCCCCGTCACCCCGAAACCCAACCATTCTCCCTTCCTGCAGGTTATTACCGATGCCCTGCCTTCCTAACTCCTTTTTATTTCTCCCAACCGCCACACTACTGTTGTTGACCACATACAATCTTTCTCACTTGTTGTTTATACAGTTTCACACATTCCCTTCGCTGCCACCCGTCTTCTATGGCTGCCGACATCCCCACCCCCTCCCAATCATTCCTGCCCCTCTAGCAGATCCCCACCACCCATTGGGATACATTTAGGAGTGTTTACTTGTGTCGTTTAATGTTTTGTGTTGTTATTTCCGTTCAAGTCATGTTGTAATGTTATTTTAATATTTATGAAATTTTTGTTTTGTGTTCCCACTATTTTTCTTATTGGTTTTGGTATCATTTGGTATCAGGGCTAGTCCAACCCTAGTCTCATCCTAGGATTTCCTAGCATCCGCCCCTACCCAAGCCACCTTTACTAAAATTTTCCTTCTAATTTCCGACCCTAACCATGCCACCGCGAATAGGTACGTCAGACTTTACTCTAGAAGAGATTCAACGAGTTGGCCTAGGAAGAGATTCCACGAGAAATTCGTTGTCTACACGGAGACTTGCAGGGCTGGATGACGTGAACCAAGAAGAGGTTACCTTCGACCGTGATTGAAAAAGTCAAAGAGAAGACAAGGACGAGGAGATGAATTCATTCCACATGGAAGATCACTATGACGAGGAATATCGACCACGCCGTTTTGGTATTCATTATCAAAGGAGGCGGAGAAAAGAAATTTAGGTCAGCGAGACTTTCGCCGTTTTGGTATTCATTATCAAAGGAGGCGGAGAAAAGAGATTTTGGTATTCATTATCAAGATGGACCTCCCAGAATTTGAAGGTGGTAGGAATCCAGATGAGTTTATCGACTGGCTTCAATCAATTGAACGAAATATAAAGATGTACTAGAGGAAAAGATGTGTCAAACTTGCTGCCATTAAACTGAAGAAAATGCCTCTTTATGGTGGGAAAATTTACAAAAGCAGAGGAAAAGAGAAGAAAGTGAGAAGATAACAAGGTGAAAGAAGACGAAGAAGGCAATGCAGAAAAAGGATCTCCCACCCACTATTGCCAATATATGTTTTTGAAACTCCACAACTTGCAGCAGAAAGATCTTTCAATTGAGGAGTTCACAACCCAATTCAACCACTTGTAGCTTAAATGCGAGTTGACACAGCCAAAAGAACATATGATAGCTAGATATCTCAGGGGCCTGAAACCCGCCATCAACAATGTGGTACAGTTGCATTCATACTAGACGTTAGAGGATGTCCAAACATTAGCATTGAATGTGGAGAGAACAATAATAAAACAGACAACAACCATCCTTTAGGCAACAACCTGCAGGCAAGCAGCCACACAGTTACCATGACCGAGAAGGGCACCCTGAGAGAGAATAACCAGCCCAGACACGGGATTAACAATCCGAATCAGAGCAAGAAGCAGGAGAAATGTTGCACCTCCAACAATGTACCGGCGATGAAGCGTTTCAAATGCCACAATTACGACCACATAACTTCCAACTGCCCCACGAGTAAAGTAGCCTTACTTACTGAGCAGAGAGCTGGCGAAGAGATTAGCGATGAAAAGAAAGCTGAGAAACAGGACGAGTATCAGCTTCCTCCTAATGAATGGGAGGCGCTCATGATTCGACGAACCTGCAAACTGATGACTCGCAATGACTTCACTAAAATATATTATATATCCGCTGCACAATGAACAAAAAAGTATGTAGTCTAATCATCGACGGTTGAAGCAACAAGAACGTTGCATCGACACAAATGGTAGAGAGATTGGGGCTTGCGATGTAGAGGCACTCCCAACCATATTTCACTGATGTGGCTGAAGTAGACTCAAGTCAGCATCGACCGAAAATGCTTGGTAGATTTTTCGATCGGAGGCCAACTACAGGGTCGGGTTTAGTGTGACGTGATTCCCATGGATGCCTGTCGTCTTTTATTGGGAAGACCATGACAGTTTGTTCGGAGGATTTTGCACGACTGACATAGAAACACATTCTTTTACCAACGACGGGAAGCGGATCACCCTCCTTCGACGGAGCCCGATTTCACAAAATCACTTATTAACAGAGCAACATCAATGAGACCAGTTTTAGTGATGACACTAGGCGAGAGTATCGAGACACTCGCCCCAGATACATGCAACTATAACTGAAGTTATGCCAGGTCGACACCGTACCAGCAGCACCACCGCCATGCGGTAAGGGTCAGATTACTCTCACTGTAAACCCGTTTGAAATGATCGTGGGTTACTTTGGGAAGATTCAGCAGGGTAAGCGTGGTCCACAACCTCAGGAGGACAGGTCGATATGGACATTTGTTCACAAATTAGGGAAGACCCTCAAATACCTCAGGCGACAATGCAATCGCCAGTGGGATCCAGAGTGACTGATGACGAAATGGAAGCTTCAACCTATGAATTCCCCCAACCCCAGAAGACAGATGCAGGTGTTGAAATCAACGCCCCGAAGTGGGGCGCTTCAATTTCTCGGGGCCAAAAACCCCACAACCCTTCGCGGGAGCCCACGACACTTTGCGGGAGATGAAGTGTGGCGGGATTGTGATACCACATGCAGGCGGGAGGCGAATCGCGAAGTAGGTGGTGGGATGGGATTGCGATTCCGCCAAAGATAGGAGGCGGATCGCAAACTCTCACAATCCAGGAAGCTTCTTTGTTCAGGGGGAGTTTTTTGAATCCTTCTTACCTTTCCACTCCCTTCTCTTTGTAGGAGGCTATAAATTGCTGCCCCTTGTGTGTAGGAGTCAGTTAGGCATAGTGTTTGTGTTTGTTCTCAGATTTCTATGTGGAGTTCTTTTTCCAATTGTGATCAGTATTCGAGGAGGTGGTGTTGCTTCGACAGTATGCTCTCTAAATTAGTGATTCTATCATCCTTATGCCTCTAGCCAACCCCACCACCCATTGAGATACATTCAGGAGTATTTGCGTGTGTTGTTTTATGTTTTGTATTGTTATTTCTGTTCCAGTCATGTTATAACCTTATTTTAATAATAATGAAAGTTTGTTTCTGTGTTTTCATGATTTTTCTTACAAATTCCTATATCAGATCCGCTTCATCCCTCTTGCTAAGTTGCGTCTCTACAAATAGCTTGTTGACATCTCTCATGCAGATCACTTTCTCAATTGGACCTTCGGCGACTAACTTGTTCGTCATATAATCAACTACGGCCTTTCCGTCACTTAATCACTATAACTTCATTTTCGTGACTAGCTGGTGAAGATCGCTTTTAATACATAGCTTTGGCACATTCTACCTCCAACTCTCTGCACGTCAACTGTACACGTTCATAAAAAAACTGATTTATAATCTTTCAGTTAGCTCCACCTCCCTTCAATTTTCTTTCGATCACTTTTGTTTGCCACCACAGCTGAATTTCGAACCTAAATCTCCCTCACAATTTGCACAAAGACATCCAACTGAAATCCAAATTTCAAATATCCTGAAGTCATCCGGCAGCTTAAGCTAAGTACTCCACAACTAATTGACGATGATTCATTTTGAAAGTCAATAATGAGACCTGCTTCCTTGCCGATCTCAAATATCTCATTTCACAACACAAAACACAAATCCCCTTCGGATTACACTAGCATTTTTTTCATGAAATTCATTATTCTGAACTTCTTGAGCATTCTGACACTTTTCATATCCTCATCTTCTTTTCCTTTGATCTAAGTCATTCCTCAACTACAAAAAAAATCTTCACGGTGGTATATTGCTACCAACATATTGAATACCTTCAAAAACTGCCTTTTTTCAAGTGTACATTCTTTCCCAAATTGAACTGAACTTTTTTATCGTTTTTCCTTGCACATCAATCCTAAGTATGACTCTAGAGTTAAGAGCCTTGTCATTTTCATTTTGGCTCTGTTCGCTTGGGCGGCTTCTAAAAAATGGAAGTCAAAGAGAATATCACGCTGTATATAATGAACTCTATTAAGTAAAATGAAATCCAACTAGATCTAATCCGAGAAGAATACAATTGTAATAAGCTAGTTTAGTTTAGAAAGATCTTGAAGCTGTTGTCAAAGCCTTGCGATCAGATCTCACTTACTTTAAATTACTTCTTCAACACTTGACATTCTCACAAGAAAAAAAATACAAAGGCTTTTCCATTTGACTTAACATTCAGATATATGAGTTCCTATTGCATTTTTTAAGTGTGCTGTGGAACACTCCCCCTCTTCAAATATCTTCTTCGAAGTCCAAGACATTTTACAAGTTTATAAAAGCCAGCCTTCCGTGATAAAATTTACATACATATCTCATTCTCATGCTTATTAAGTCTATCCTTGCTTTACCAATGATGTTTAAATGCTTTATCTTATGTAGAAGTGATTTTAGACATCGGTGAAAGCAGCATTAGCTTAATATTTTTGTGTGTTTTTTGGCTTTTATATTAGAGGGAAGCTCTTTTATTTCTTAGAATGATACCGGAACTAGTTGTTTCGGGGCGTTTACAACCCCCGCGTCATAGAATATATATTCTTTCTTGCATTTGTTGAATGCTGAGACTAAGCTATTGTTTATCGCATTTTTTTTTTAGGTTATGAGGAGCCTCATTGAAGTTGATGCACTTAAGCCAACAGAAGACATTTCATCTGTTAGTGAAGCACTTTACTCTCTTAATCATGTTTATGCATCTTAAGAAATAGTAATCTTAGTGGAGCATATATTATTTTTAGAGGCATTTACGGACATACCTCCTAATTCTTATGTATTTACCCATCTAACACCAACTTTACTTTTTTACATTTATATAACAATTTTTGATATCATATTAAAATTACCACCATTTTAACTTCTAAAATGTGAAATACACCTTTCGATGCTTAGGTAAGGTGGCATTTATATAAAATTGGAGTTTGGGTGTCAAATATGTAAATACATAAGAACTAAGTGGTATGAATGTAAACCTTCCTAATTCTTTTTTGTGTTTTAGGCCTTTCATGCATTGAACTTCTTTACCTGCAGGTGCAGAGATCCATACAGTTTTTCTTGGATAAAACATTTAGCCATTCATCCGATCAACAACAAAGTTTGGCTGCAATTAGTGAGGTTGGTAATCCAAATAAATATGTATGCTTTTTTTTTTTCTTTTTATTGAGACATTTTCTTACGAGATGTTTTTTAGGATTTTTTTGCAATAGCAGCAGATCAGCCTCTACGCTTACCTTCCACATTAACTTTTGTAATGAAGGCATTCTCAACTCTTGAAGGTAAACTTTTTGAAGATTTAGCTATGCTCTTCTTTGTTGTGCGCTATTATTTTGGAACGAATGCATGAGGCATAATTGAAATATTGATACTAGCACATTAATAGCTGAACCTTTTATCCGAACTTGTGAAAATTACTTTGTGAGGGGTAAGTTTTTTATTTAGTTAACCAATTTCGAACTAGGTAGTCAGATTTTCAGGGAAAAATTTAAGCAGTTGAAGTCAGTTTTTGTTTTTTGGGAAATTGACATACTTGGCACACTGTTCTTATGTATGTACATATCTCACAGCTAAACTTTCATATTTACATACATAGCACTTTGGTTCTTTAAATCTTTATGCATGGAAAGGTGTCTTTCATTTTTAAATAGTGATAATAGTGCTATTTTTTATGCGAAATATTAAAGATTTGAGTGCTATATTTGAAAATATGAAAGTTTAGGTGTGAAATATGTAAATACATAAGATTTGTATTCTATGTATTTTAATGCCCCTTGTTTTTTTTCTTATGAGATGTACAGCACTTTTCAGAGAGACAGCACATTATTCTTCTTGTAACCCCTCTTTCCAAAACTTCAAATTTCAATGTGTCGGTTCTGTTACATTTGATGCTATTGAATCAGTCCCTCAATTGAAAGTTGAATATTTGACTACTGATCCTTTGGGTTCTGTAAAGACTCTCTTGGTAAGTGTGCAGTATTTTTTTTAATTTATTTTGTAGCGTACAAGTAGTCTACTTGATGCTGGATACTTCAAAATTCTATATTGAGATGATAGCATGTCAAACGATAGACATCTAGCGCATGCAAATTAATGTCTAAATTGAAAGAGCGTGAAAAAAGGAAGATTTATGTACATATCACTTAATCGTAGAGCATCCAGAATAACTCTTAAAGTCTAATATCTCATCATAGATCTCCAAAATAAAAAATAAAACATGTATCGTATACTGCAAGAACACAAAACCACCACTACCTCCACACCAATCACAAAATCTATCGTTGTGAGAAACCACTTCAAAATCTCAGACCGAATATCGGGCAACAACGAACATCACAACACAACCGCCCAAATCTATCAACCGGATAGAGCACCAACAAGCCAGACAAATAAACTGAATATAACGTAGAGAGCCTAATAAAATCACAAAATCCAACATCAAAGCACGACCACCCAAATCCATCAATTGCATAGAGCACAAAGAACCTAAATCAATCAACTGGATATAGTACAGAGAATCCAAACCATCAACCGAATAAATCACAGAGAACCCAAGAAATTCCTAAAATTCAACATCGCAACACAACCACCTGAAAGCTATTAACTGATTAGAGCACATGGGACCCTAAACCATCAACCGAATATAACATAAAGAAATGAAATTAATCGCAAAATCAAAATGCCCGAGTAGATAATGGTAAAGAATACCGTGGGGTCGAAGAGCAAATGATCCAAACCGATTTGAAGAGCAGAGGGGTAGAGGGAGAAGAGAAGAAAGACAAACTCACCGAAACAACTAACAAGACCAACAAAACCAAATAGAATCAACTCTAGCCACCGGAGCCACAGATCAGAGAGGATCAAGTGAGGCGATGTTACCTTTAGGGCAAGAATCGTAAGAGAGGGGAGAGCTGCTCTCGAGGGTGAAGAGCAGGACACGAGAGCGAAGAGGGTGTAAGGTTGTAAAAGATTTGCTAAGAAACGAACTCGCGGTCCACGTTTAACATGATTTTTTTCCAAAAACACAGCCTCGCCACAAATACTAAACGGCTTCTACAGCATTTTACCACCACTTTGCAGCAAAAAAGCCACGCCAAACAGCCTCTAAACCTTCTCTCTATTGCTATGAAAAAACAGGAGATGAGATTCACTCTTTTGCTATCTGTGACCCATTAGAAGTAACAAGTGGAGGATTCTTGTTGGTTATCATGTGCTCATGCAATCCTCAAGAGTCAAAATTTTAGTATCTTGTGATAAGAATAGAACATAAATGATAATGTAGAAAATGTATAAAAGAGAAGAATTTTAAGGTAGAAAATGGGTATATTTGTTCGAATCATAGAGGTTAATATACAATCATCATCAGTAGACCTTCACTTTAGGGTTTTATAGTTTTTCATCAAATATCGTGTTCTATGAAATGCATTATTTACCATCATATTGTGCTAAAATAACTTGAGCGATGTAAAAGTACTAAAGAAATTTTTCTTATTGTTATATATTTGATTAACTTGGCTCTTCTGAATCATCAAATATTTCCACTCATCAACTTAATCGCGGCATAGTGATTGAGGCCTTGAGGGTATAAATTTTCACGGTGAGGCCGTCGGTTCAAATCACACATATTGTCGGACTCATCATTTCCGAGAAAAAAAGAAGTATGTGAATCTATTAATAATCCACATCACTCTACATCAATCCACGCCCTTTAGAATGACCAGTCCCCGAGTTATTTTCTGGTTTTTGTGAACAATACCTTTTAAGCAATTGTAAAATTCTTATCTTAAATATTTATGACAGCTATAGATGTGCTTTATGGTTGTAAAGAGATACAAGTCAATAAGACATTAGATCCATCTTAGAATGCCTTGTAGGTAGACTAAGGGGAGAACTGCTCATAGAAAAACTTTACCAAGTTGAATACAATCTTATATCTAATACAAAATTAGCTTAATGTACCAAACTAGAGATTGTGGATTTAAATTTGCTTGGGAAAAAGTGTGATTGGCATGTTTCTACTTTCAATTTGAACTCGAGAAGTTGTGCAATGTAACAAGACTATGTATATATATTTATATATAAATAAATTATGATGACCCATCCTCGAGTTATTTTTAAAGCCTAATTAAAAATCTTATAGTCATCACTCCCTTTCATTGACCATCTCACCCACCTGTTTGCACGACTTTACCTCACCGGTTCCTCAATATTTACTTTTCCCCCTTTTTTTTCACAGTTTTTAAAACCTATTCAATTCCTATTATTGAACTTCCTAGCTACAATGATCTTTGATCTCCCACGAGTGCTTAATAGAGGTGCAACGCGCTCATCACCGACAAATCTCTGATACAGCTCTTCTCTAACCCAATCTCTCTTTTCCCCCTTTATCTCTTACTCCCCTCTCATTCTCTCCATCTTTTCTTTTCACTCATTTTCTCTCTTTCTCATCCATGGCTCTTTTTGTCACACCCCAACTGAATTCCTCTGGCCAACGAGGTTTAACAGGGGAGGTTGATTAAGTCAAACCTAATTTCTACATCACTCATCCTAATCAGCTCTCGTTAAAATTGAGTGAGTGGAGATTTAATTATCCTAATTCGTCACCAAGAAAACTCTTACATTTTTACGGAAGCATGTATAAAGCATTTATTCAATATAATATTGAACTTCTAATAATACTTCAAATATGAAAACACACATGCTAAAATGCCCTTATTCACATTAGATATAATTGTTTTCTATGAATCCCCAAAAGCTATATTGATGGGCAAATCAACTAACTATTGATTGACCTGCTTTACTTATTTGAAAATCCCTATTTTCGTATATGGTGAGAGTCAAAAAGCAATGCTAAAATAAAATTCAAACATACAAGAACGAAGTAGCATGCATGCAGGTTGGTGAAAAACACTATGAAATACGATTATATATATATATATTGCGCCGCATACTCAGATCATTTGATCGGGCATCTGCTTGTTAGTTGTAAGTCCCCTCTAGTCAGGGGTTCGATTCCTCCCGATTGTAGGGTGTGGTATTTGAATTTTTAGGCGCATGAGGGATGTCCGGGGCTCATATAATAGCCTCCACCCATTCCTTTACGATATATATATATATATATATATATTGTAGAATTTTATATAAATATTTTTTATGATTCTCACGAGATGGAGAACATTGGGGACATAATTTTAAAAACAAAATTGACTTAACTTTTTGGTAATTCTGTGTATTATTCTCTAATCTTTTACTCTCTTCATGTATAAAAAAATCCGGAACAAAAAAGAAATAGAAAAAAAAATAGTAAAAAGATAGGTTAGAAAAAAGTAAAGCTAGAAAAATAAGAAGTGAGAGAAGCAAACATAAGAACAGAGATTTTAGAATATAAAACTAAAAGGAAATGCAAGGTGTCAGAAAGGAAAAAATAATTTATAGAAATGAGAAAAGAATTGTGCATCCATTTCACTATAATCTTATCGCTGTCATCAAATTTTTCAACGATTTTCTCTTACACAAAGTATAAATGTAAACAAATGTGTTATTAATATATGGCAAAAAATATATATATATTTGAATATAGGTAACTTTCGTAGCATGTCGGGGGGCTTGGTGAGGAACCTAAGCCATAAAAAATAGTACTCCTGTTTATCTTGTTGACAAAACATGGAAATGCTTTGTTGCAAAGTTTCATGTACACACCTCTTCTTGGCATGATGGGGATAGAAAACTTTGTGGTTGTTTCTTGCACTATCCATTATCTTTTTTCTTGTGTGGTGAGCAGGCTCATGATTCCCCGAGTGCCTTGTGCTAAGATGGCATTGGAATGCTATAGAAATTTAAATTGACAAGATCAAGGCTGAACAAAATTAAAATGATCCCTATGATCATTAATGCAGCATAAAATGGGCTAAATACAAATTTCAAAATGAAAAAAGAAAAATGGAAATGGCAGTGAATGCAAAATTGCAAATAGAGAATCATAATAGGGCAAGAATCAAGCACCAAATGAACTTACAAGGGACTTAGCAACTCACCTACGAGCATGGATAGACCGTTTGTACTGTACCAGGAACTTGTCTAAACACTTAGAACTCTTAAGAAGACAACCTATGAACTAACTTGGAGGTGAAAATGGATATAGGAGCCCTCTTTTTTGTAGGAGAAAAGAATGATTTCTTCTGGGACACGCTGAGATAAAATACATATCATATGTAATTTAAATCGTAATGCTTTAAAACATGCAATGGATTCCAATTCATAATATTTGCAATTGGATTTGCAA